CTGTATTTATCACATTACCTAATATGTTGTGTTGGCAGTGCTTCATCTGGAAACTAAAAGACCTATTCCTGGTAATTAAATTCAACATTCAGACTTCTTTACTTCTATATTTGCTGAAAGGACTGTTGGAAGATCTTTAATTTTTAAAAAATTTAATGGAAGTGCAATATATCTACATGATCAAAATTAAAAATCAAGTCAAGAATAGTATCAACTGAACAGTAAAATTCTTCTCCACTCTTTCTACCCACATTCCTTCTTCCTCAAGATTGTCTTTGGAATCACACACTAGATAAAAACTGTACTAAATAACAATAGTCAGCTAACTCTACTTTTTTTCCTATGTGACCCTGAATTTCTGAAAATCCCTATGTTGCATGATACCTAAAGACAAATCATTACATCTTTTTACTTTTTCTCAACCATTCAATTAATATCATTGTAATAAAAAAAAATCTCAGTTTCAAAGTGATATTCCAAAGGACCCACAAGAATGGAAGTTTTACTCTCTACTTCCTCATCTGGGATTGATCATCAAAAGCCACTGAAGCAGTATTACCCTTAAATATATTGAAAAAGTTTTGTGACCCTGGGCCCCAAACACTTGAGGGCCCCAATCCTGCCCTCTTTTGTCCTGCCCCCAACCATGAGATGAGGGGGTGGTGTGTGGACAGAAGGACATACCCACTGAACGTCTGTGTGCCCTCTATTAGGCCACATTTGGGGTAATCTGGACAGAGGATTCCTAGCTCACATGGTCCAAGGATCTTAAATGTCTTCTTCCCCATCTCTGTCCTCACAAAGATATATAGGCCAAGGACTTGGGGCTAGTGACCAGCTCTCCTCTGCCTTCCTGCTATTTTCTGGTATGAACTCTAAATATCTGAGAATTCTAAATTCAAACATAATCTTTTAGGTTTCTCTGAAGATGTCAGTGTATAAGGATTTAAATGTTTAACAATTGCTTAGCTTGATTTATAACTTTAAAATATTTATATATACGGGACATTGACTCCCATATGCACTTTTGACCTGGACCCTCTCTAATGTTAGGAGGTGGGCCTGATTTGAAAATAATGCTTTTGTGAAACTCTTAAAATTAAATGCCCTTCCATTTGAAGTGTGTTTCTAATATTCCTTTGAAATAAAACAAAATGAATTTTACTCTTCAAATTATTAGTTTTTCATGAATAACCCAATTATTTTGATTAGATTGTTTTTCCAATACATTTCCTGCATGTTTTTTTAGGTATGTGGAAGTTATTGATTTCTATTTAATAATTTCATAAAGTAGATGTTATTTCAGTTCCTTATCACTGAGATGCTTGCCATTTCTCTCCCTCTTAGGTCTTGTATGCACTTGTTGAGTACATTATTCCTAAATGCCATGGTTATAACTGTCTCATTTTCCTCCATTGTGAAATATTGTGAGAAATCAGTAAATGTTGATTAAATCAGCAAAAAAAAATTCCTCAAGTTGATATTCAATGACTAAGTCTGGGAAAATTTTGGAGTAGATCATTTGAATGATTGTTTAAAACAATGTAGGGATGCCGGGCTTACACTTTGTTTTTAACTTTCTATTTTGAAATAATTTTAAATATAAAGGAAAACCACAAAAATAGAATGAGAGTTCCTGAGTACCCTTCACCCAGCTACCCTTAACATCAGCATTGTAAGTTTGTAATATAATGATCAAAACTAAGAAATTAACATTGGTACATTACTATTATTAGCTAACCCACAGACTTTATTTGGTTTACCCTGTTTTCCTAACATCATTTTCCTTTTCTCTGATTCTATTCAGGAGTTCACACTGCATTTAGTTGTCAGGTTGCCTTGTCTCTCACAACTTAGGCCATTCCTCAGTCTCTTTGTCTTTTATAACTTTGGCACTTTTGAAAAGGACTGTTCAGTTTATTATAGATTGTGCCTTAGTTATCCTATATCTGCTATTTCCTCATGATTAATTGAGTTTTTGTGTTTTTTGTTTTTGTTTTTTACCAGAACATACAGAAGTGATGTGCCCTTCTGGACCTCATACTCCAGGAGTTCATGACGTTGATGTCATTACTAGTGATGTGTACTTTCACTTCTTGGTTGAGGTGCTATTTACCAGGTTTCTCCACTATACAGTTGCTGTTTTTACCTCTATAATGATTAAATTTCTTGGGGGAGACACTTTGAAATTATGAAAATATCCAGTTTCTATTCCACTGATTTTAGCATCCATTGGTGGATCTTGTCTGCAACGAATATTACTGTGATGTTCTGTTTCAATTTTCTATTTCCTAATTTCTTCCACATTAACTGGAATTTCTTCCACATTAACTGGAATTTTGTGTAAGAGATCTTTCTTCTCCCCCATTTATTTTAAAAATTCAACTATTTGTTAATATCAGTGTGATTCATGGATACCTACTTATAATTTGGGGCATTGTTATTTCTTGCTCAAATTGGTCCAACTCTGGCCATGGGAGAGTTCTTTTTTCTGGCTGCCCCTGTATCTTTTTCATGTGCTGCCATCATTTATTGAACACTTCCTTACTTTTTTAGAGTCACAAGATGTGCCAGACTCACCTTATATTTTCCTCACCCAGCCTCAGAGTTAGTGGCTTCTCCAAAAGGAATTGAAACAAAATAAAATCTTAGAGCATAAATAAATATTAAACATAGGCAATTGAAAAAAATTGAAAAAATAAGACAAGGTTGAACATAGATGAAGGTGGTGTACTTTTTTCCTTGGAATTTGGCTCTTGAATTATAGTTTTCCTTTCAGATAGGTTGATAGTATTCATTAAGTGATCACAACATAGTTTTATGGAGCAGTGAATAAAAATACCATTTAAGCATAAAAATTAAGAACCTACACTCTCGAAACAGATTGGGTAGGCTCAGATTCTAACTCAACCACTTACTAGCTGTGAGACATTAGGCAAGTTACTTAACTTCTCTGTGCTTCAGTTTCTTCATGTGTATAAATGAGATTACTGGTACTTAAAAGTTCAGAAGAGGCACGCAGACCTCTCCTGCTGCGCCCGCTGCTCCCCTCAGCAGTGTATTTCATCGGTCTGTCTGTTCTGTTCCCTGCTCTGGCTCTGGTGAATTCTCTTACCCTCCCGTGCTTCTGACTGTACCCTGGTTCTTGTATAAATAAATAAATAAATCTTAAAAAAAGTTCAGAAGAGTGCTTAGCACGTAATATAAAATTTTACTACCAATGTAGTGATCTTTAAATCTTACACAGAGCTTTCAATTATATGAACTCATTTTTATCACTAATAGCACTTGATGTATTACTATTTCAAACTTACAGATAAGGAAGCTTAGGCTTAGAAGGGTTAAGTAACTTCCAAGATGACATAGTTTAAAAATGACAAAGACAAGCATCAAACACCAATCACCTTCTTGCAAATTCTAGATAGGAATGGGAGAAGTAACTGTAGGGAGCAGAATATCAAAAAAATGAATTGACAAAAACCTATGTTTACAAATTACCTGGGAACTTTTAGTACTAATATCAGAACTTCAACAAGGTCTTTAACTGACCCTAACTGGATTTATTAACCTGCTCTATGGTACCAGCTTTAAAAAGGATTAAAAGCACCCTGATAAATTTTTTCAAAATTGGATATATGTGCATTTTATCTGGGAAATGTGCCCATATGTTTCATTGGATTTTCTAAGGAGTTTGCAAACCCCAGGAGGTTTAAGAACTTTGGCTGAATTTCCTGAATTCTCTGACAAGCTACTTACTTGGAGTGGTTATTATTTGGATGTTTATTTGAAGAGACATATGGGGGCAATTTTCTTGATGGGAAGAGAGCTACATTTTTTTCTTATCTCTTTTAAAACTGTTTATCATGGAAATTTTCAAACACTCAAGAAAGTGTACCTTCTATGCCCGTCACTCAGCTTCAAAATATTCAAGAGAGAATAAAGGCAAGCTGTAGAGAGATATGTACAGTATGGTACTATTTGTATAAAGTTTCAAAATATGTAAAACATGCTATATATGTGTGTGTGTATATATATATTTGATAGATATGTATTGTGTGTATGTGTGGTACAAGCAGAAAATATGCATAAGAATATAAGCATAAAATTTAGAAAATTCTACCATTAAATTAGAGAAGGAAATAGGATTGAGAAGAGTATCACAGGATTTCAATTGAATCTAATTTCTTGTGGTATTCTTTCATTATCTGTAGTTTTTGAATGCCTGAAATATTTTATACTTAAAGAAACCTATGAATCAAGTCAAAGTCACATAAAATTCTCCAGTGATTTCCTATTGCTCTTAAAAAAATTCCAAACCTCTTACTGAGGTACTTCCTGTGTGATCAAGCATGATTAAGGTCTTGTGTGATCTGTACTCTCCTTGTCTCTCTAATATCATCTTTCTTTCTCTCCATCTGTTACCATGTTCTGATTTCATTGACTTTTTTTCTGTTCTTTGAAGAAGTCAAACTTGTTTCAACCTCAGGACCTTTGCTGTAACTCTTACCTCTACCCCTAGAACTTCTTCTGTTTAACCATTCATCTTCTCATTATTGAGATCTCAAGTCAAGCAAGACTTTTCTTGCACAGCTTATTAAAATAATCCCTCCTATTCTGTTTTTCTCTACTCATCCCCCTTTTTTTCTCTTAATAGCACTAATTACCGATGAAGTTCTCTCGCTTATGTATTTACTGACTAACTTTCTCTTACCAGGATGTAAGTTCCTTGTCTCTTTCCTACTGCCCTATGTTTGGCAATTACAACAGCACCACATGCATAGGAGGCACTTAATAAGTATTTGTTGAATGAATGAATTTATTCATATTCTGAATAACCAGAAAAATCTCCCTAGCGCTCTGTTTGTTTGTAGAGGACTAAAGCCTAGAAACCTAACTACTTTTCTGGTTTCTTTTCCAGATGTTAGAAATTTTCTTTGCTATGATCCATGTCAAAGGATAATAAATCCAATTTGTATTTTGATGATAAACACTAGTATCAGCTCTTTCTCATTGCCCCTCATGTGGACCACAATACTGGGTAATGTGAGTCTGTCTACTCTGATGTACTGTCATAATTCCATTGCTGAGTCACGTTAGTCTCCTTTTTTCTCTAACACACTAATCTGGAATGTTACACATTCTGATGGGTCTTTGTCTGGCTTCTACAAATTAAGCCCCCACAGATTTTGAAGACCTAAGCTAATAATAGATTTCAAGGGAAGAACACTTGTTGGGGATCACACAATTTAATGTGCTAATGAGCCCTTGATCACTTTTAGGTCATATCTTCTGCCACCTTCGTCTATGCGGTCATCAGGTTTCAGCTGGTTCTGGAACTTTGAAATTAGGAAGCCTCTGAAAGACAGAAGGTCCGTTTCTCACTGGTGACTGCTCAGAGTTTTGTGGAATTCCAATCAGCCTGCAGGCTCAATAACAGGAATGTTGGGTAAGCAAGGTCTAGGTGCAGCTTTTTTCTCCCAGAATATAAAAGTAATCTCAAGGGCGTTGTGTCACATTTTGATTTGTCATGAGAATATGAATTATGAATAATTATATTATGAATAATTCTTAATTTTTTAAAAGATTTATTTATTTATTTACACAAGCACTGGGTATAGTCAGAAGTGCGGGAGGGTGAGAGAATTCACCAGAGACAGAATAGGGAACAGAACAGGCAGATCGACGAAATACACTGCTGAGGGGAGCAGCGGGAGAGACAGGAGAGGTCTGTCGCATCATGTGGGACCCTTGCCGGTGGTTGGGGATCAAACGGGTGCTGCAGAGGCTGTGGGCAGCTTCGCAGCCCAGCGCTCAACCGCTGCGCCACCAGGGGAGGCCCGAATTCTTAATGTTCTTAAGACATGTGATCCCTAGTGAATTCAACTTTGGTCTTTTATAGATAATGAAGATTCTTTTGTCAGGCATGTCCCCTTGATCAGCACTGATTTCTCAAAGGGGCTGCTCTGCCCTGTGAAGATGGCCTTGAGGTAACACAGGTTTGCAGTGCATAGTTCACTTAATTGATTCTTTTCTGAAAATTTCTTCAAATCTCTTTATTTCTAATAAAGGTATTCTTTTCACAGTTGAACCTACGCTGAGTATTTCTTGACTTAATCCCTTAATTTGATCTTTGGGTTAAAAATAAACATATAGGCTTTTCTTCTTTCTGGCTAGGTCTACCTCTCCAGTAAAGAAACCGAGCATATGTCTTACATTAGAGAATCTTATCAGACGCAGAAGATGTACTCCCCTTTCCTGTTCATACCACGCTTACATGCTGTGGAGCTAAATTAAAATCATAGTTGCTGTGCTATTTTTAAAATGCAGTTACACTTTGAGTTCCTGGCTCCCTTTGAGAACCATGACCATACTGTCACTTTTTCTCACCCAGTGCTATTTTGCTGTCTTTTGTGACTGAAATAAGAAACATCTTTATGCTAACATTCTCCCGAGAACCAAGAAGTCTTGCTACCTTGCTGGGTGGGAAGTTCATTTGGTAAATGAGATGTACAAGAATTTTCTTTGAAAACTGAATGAAGTGATTTGACATCTAAGTTGCATTCATTTCTTTAACAGAGACAAGGTTAGGGTGAAGGTGAAGGCATAGGGGTTGGGAGTAGGAGTTAATCCAACAAGCTAGTTAAAAAACCACCACCTTGTTTTAGAATTAAACAACAACCTTGTCATATCTTCTAAACCAGGTAAGACAGAGAGGTGGCTTTTATCTGTTACCCATCTAATCTAGAAAAACTGTAGTCTGCAAAGTGGAGTTTGCTTACTTATTGTTAGAGGGAGTTGGTAATGGCTGGTTTTTATTTGCTTGCTTGAAATATCTGACTTAGCTGCTTACAACGTTTAAATGAACTGATAATTCTGTGCTGTGTAGGTACAACCATAATCTATGACTGGTGTTCATATGTGAAAGTTTGGGAATAAATAATGTTCAGAAGGGTCCTGCTCCTGGTATCATAATTGAATTTTCGAGATAGAGTGCTCAAAGGGAGAGGAGATTAAAGTCAGGCCTAGAAAAGAGAATTGCATTTTAGTTATTAATATTTCCACTTGACAGAAATTTTTATCACTCAGAATATAAATGGGCATGAATAAAAGGATAGGTCAGCCAGTCACAGAATAAATCTCTTTCAACTGTTCCCCTGGGGAGGAGTTCCTGACGTTGTTCTTCATATGTTACAACTCTAACGTTCCTCTTCAGAGTCCTAATTTTGGCATCAAGAAGTTGGATCATTTGGGTTCAAACATCTGTTGTTTCTGGATGGCTTTAAAATTCCATTGCAAGCTCAAAAATGCTCAAAGTGCAAAGCATGTCCTTATGAGAAGTATCTACTTGGTGTATGTTTGCCTTTCTCTCTCACGAATCTTCCATGAAACTTCACTTAGGCCTACAATTTCTGCTGTCTCTACATATAGTAGTAACATAACATATTTCTTTTACCTAGGTCCCAGTTTCCAAGATTTAATTTGGGCATGGAATGACTTTTCCTAAGTTTATTCTTTGTATCGAATGTGCTGGAATCTATGTAAATAGTTATCAAAATCAGAATTCGTTGATTTCACTTGCCTTTGCCTGACTACTCCACACCAATTTCTGGTAGAACTTTGCAAGTTCTAGCAAGATTTTTTTGAGAAGCATAATTGCAATCAGTTAACCCTAAAGGGGCAAATATAGTATGAATAAACTTCTTGTTCTGAGAAATGTTTGTACTATAGTATTTTTTCCATTTACACTGTGAGATAAGATTGCAGACAGAAAATGAATTGGCAGAAAATATCCTCATTTTGAAAAAATGGTCTTTGATGAATGTATTTTGAAAAGAGTCAAATTCTTATGGCTCTCCCACCAAGCTACAGAATTCCCTAGTCCTGCATGCTTCCAAGACTTTTGAACACTTTTTTAAAAGTACAGATGGATACACATTTATGAAATGTAGATTTCTGGTGGGGTTTGGAGTCATTTAAAAACTTTTGGAGTTTAGACAATCCTTAAAAAATGAGTCTTGGCATTGATTTCCCACACGTCATCATGTATCTAAAGAAGATGATTTGGGAGGATTTTTTTTCTTTTTGTATATAAACTTGTGTTTTCTCTCTCAATCCACTAATGATCATAAATAAATACAGCCTGTACTATCCTAAGAACTACAATGTATTAAGTAAATGATTTATAGAAAAAGCAAATAAACCAAGAAAGGTCTCGGCCTTCCACTGTTATTGGTTAACTCTTAAATTCTCAGAGTCTTTGCTGGCTCAAAAATGCTCAAATTACAAAGCATGTCCTTATGAGAAGTATCTACTTGGTGTATGTTTGCCTTTCTCTCTCACGAATCTTCCATGAACACTTCACTTAGGCCTACAATTTCTGCTGTCTCTACATAACAGCTGCCCTTTCTGGTATCAAGGGGTCACTACCTTGTGGGTCATTAACCCTAGTCTTTCCTTGGCCCTCTGGCTCCTTTATCTCTAGAAGCACAAGACATGTTTTAAACCCACACCCAGCCATTGCCATTCTGGACTTTTACCGTTTCAGGCTTAGCTCTGCTTTTTCACAGAAGTAATTGTGATGTTTGGAAGGCTACCCACTTCAGAATATGCTCTGTGGTTTCTTCTTTCCTCCAAGTTTTTTTGTTTTTTGTTTTTTTTTAAATCACACACAAATTAAAAGTTTGCTCTTTTAAAGAAATCATTACTACTCCTTTTTGGATGGGCCAAAAGAGTAATATTATTAGGTTGTATTCTGCCCTTTATTATTATATTTGTGAATATTTACAAAATCTTTGCTACTGGGTTCCAAATCCTTACTGGGCTGTTTTCATATTTGTCTTCTGCAGGGATGACTCAAAGCTTGCCACTGAGAGAAGAAGGGTTGAGAACTTAGGCCCTCATGACTGAACACACCTGTATTGAAGGCCTGGCCCTGCCACCTACTAGTAAGTAACAACTAGGTTATTATTTAACCCTTATAAGCCTTGGTTAAATAAGATAATGTATGTAAACCACTGAATACATGTTTGCACAGAGTCATTATTAAAGTGTTAGTTATTAGAAGTATGTCTATACTTGCTGGATTGAGGAAGTGCAACTACTGCCTGGATTATCTTGACGGCCAGAGTATTTCCATAGAAAAACCCATGTGAATTATGTATATTGATAGCACATATTTATACAAAATAATTAATGAAATCTAAAAGGCACCCTTTACTAAACACTGGTTTTTAAATTAATAATTGCTGTTTTGAAATCCATGTGACAAAATGCATGGATGGCCCCAGCCTCAGAAGAATCTGTGAGTCTGTAATGTGCTCAGCAATTAGGTGGTGACTTTGGGCAGTAACCAGGTGACTGGGATGTCGGATACCTGCCTGGCCTTTGAATTTGGGATTGGCAAGGCTCTCTGAGGATAAATTGTTCTAAATCATGGGCCCCCTTGGAGCATGTGAAGAAAGAGGTGCATAGATAAAACATGTGAAGAGGGAGGAAAGGGAGAGAGAGAGGAAAGAAGAAGCAGAGGGTTGACACACGATGGGATTACGTACCAATGAACACATTGTAAATTGATAATATGGTAAGTTGAAATGCATTTAATACACCTAACCTACCAAACAGCAAAGCTTAACCTAGTTCACTTTACACCTGATCAGAATACTTATATTAATCTACAGTTGGGCAAAATCATTGAAAATAACATTTGTTTTGGGCCTCCCCTGGTGGTGCAGGGGTTGAGCGCTGGGCTGTGAAGCTGCCCGCAGCCTCTGCAGTGCCGGTTCAATCCCCGGCTGCTCCCTGGTCACCGGAGGAGGGTCCCACATGGCACGCAGACCTCTCCTGCCGCCCGCTGCTCCCCTCAGCAGTGTACTTCGGTCCTTCTGCCTGCTCTGCTCCCCGCTCTGGCTCTGGTGAATTCTCTCACCCTCCCATGCTTCTGACTGTACCCAGTGCTTGTATAAATAAATAAACAAACAAACAAATAAATAAATAAATAAAATCTTTAAAAAAAAAAAAAAAAAAAGAAAATAACATTTGTTTTATAATGAAGTACTAATTATCTCATGTAATTTTTTGAATACAGTACCGAAATGGAAAAGTAGAATGCCCGAATTCCAAATTTGAAGCACAGCTTCTACTGAATCCATACTACTTTCCACTATAGTTAAAGCCCCACATTGTAAATCGAATCATTATCATTTGGGACTGTCTATACAGAAATTGAGAGAAAAGAGAAGGAAAAGGGGGAAAGGAGTCAAAAATCAGAGTGGGAACAGGAATCACACACAGAGAGGCCGTGACGTTCAAGGAGCTGAATTCAAACAGACTTGGTTTAAAATTCTCATTTGCAAACTGCGATCCTAGACAAGTTACTTAACCTCTCAGTTTCCATATCTATAATCTCAGTTTCCTTATCTATATAAAAGGGAACAAAAAACAACACTCACCTCAGAGTTTTAGCGAGGATCAAATGAAACGATGCCTTTAAGAACATGTAGCCCAGTGGATGTAGTTGAAGACCCTTGCTCATATATGATACCTGTGTTTGCTTGTTTATTTATTTACCTAGGTATTAGAAAGGGACTTTACTAGAAACAAATGCATACGGTCCCTGGTCAATCTGGAGAGACTAAGATTATTGCTGTTTTATTCAGGGACAATTATAGATAGTTGTTGCTAAGGTTTTGTTTGTTTGGTTGGTTTGGTTTTTGTTTGTTTATTTTTTTCTCTTCTGAAGGGGCTGACACTACCATTTGATGAAATATTGATTTAATGGTTCCAAAGCCAAAATGGGAGTCACAAAATCTTCCCTCCCTCTCTCTCTTCCTCTCTCCTTCTTTGCTTTTTTTCTTTCTTTCAGAGTTCAGTACAGCCAAGTCAAGTACCGAGTTAGGTAGGCATAGAGCATGCAGGGTAAGGTGGGCATACACATAGTGGGGACAAAACAGAGTCCCTGCTTTAACCAAGACAAGGGATTTGTCTCTTCTTTGTCTTCTCCTCTGATGGGCAGGGAAAAATTTCTCCTGTTGTATCAGGGGATAATACCAGGGCTTCCTAAGATGTTATATAGTCAGAGGGGTCAAGGATATATAAAAAGCAGATTTCTGGGTGCTATTTCTGTTCCCTCTAGTCCAACTTTACATCATTCTATTCTGATCAGTCCAGCTGACTCATGTTGGGTTGGGTGTTTTTAGTTTTAGTTTTCACATCTATAAAATGAAAAGATGGTTATTCTCACTTCCCTTCTTTTGGGGACTGATATAACTTGCAAACATTAACTATATTTGGAAATCTTAAAAAATTAAAATACTTGGAAAGCATTTTAACGTCACAGTTGAACAATGAGTATAGTTTATGTAACAAGGTATAGTTTATATGTTTGCTGTATTTGGTAATTTCCTTTCTATTATGTCCTTCAACATGGACATGGATGTTTTCAATTTAATAATGCAGCACCTGCGAGGTTGTGGAGAAAAAGGAACTCTCCTGCACTGTTGGTGGGAGTGCAAACTGGTCCAACCACTATGGAGAGCTGTGTGGAGATTTCTGGACCTACTAAACATAGAGCTTCCATATGATCCAGCAATTCCACTCCTAGGTATTTACCCAAAGGACACAGAAACATTAATTCCAAAGAGCACCTGCACCCCTATGTTTATAGCAGCACTGTTTACACTAGCTAAGCTTTGGAAACAACCCAAATGCTCAAAAATAGATGACTGGATCAAGAAGATGTGGTACATATACACCATGGCATATTACTTAGCATTCAAAAAAGATAAACACATACAATTTGCAGCAACATGGATGGCGCTGGAAGGGATCATGCTCAGCGAAATAAGCCAGAAAGAAAAAGGAAAATACCGGATGGTCTCACTCATAGCAGGAATCTAGAAAACTTAAATAAGGGACCAGGAAAAAGAATAACTATAAGAAAGAAAAAATCAAAATCAACAAACAACTATGAACCAGAGAAACTCTATGGGGGGTGGGGGGCGGGGAGGGGAGGGATTGGGGTCAGAATGGGGGGTCGCAATTGTATGGGGAATATAAAAATAAAATTTATAATAAAAAACCCCAAAAAAATAATAATGCAGCACCTATCCCTGCATTATTGTGCACCTATTACAAAAAACTCTACTGTGCACACCTATTACCAAAAAAATAAATAACTTCACCTTTGCCCCTCACTTGTAAATTGAACTACTTTCAAATTTTACTTGTGTGCTCCCAGAAGGACCTATTTTTTGATTGAATATAAATTAACATTTGTGTCACCAATTTGATCCTTACCTATTCTCTAATATACACCCCACAGAGAGATCAGAAAGAAATTAGAATCTTAGCATCTGATGAATTTAGTCTAATAAAGAGCAGAATACATACTATAACCAACAAGAAGGGGGACCTTTATTCTTTCAGCTGGCTAATAGGGGTAAAATGGGAGAAGAAAGAAGGAATGTGTAAGGAGGGCTGTCTGTCAACACTTGGAGAACTATGTCATCAGAAGAACAACTCAGTAATTTCTTAGATGATTCCCTCTTCTGTACTATAGGCTCACCCAACCCTTCACTGGGCTTTGAAGCCTAGAATATTATGTAAAGACTGAAATCAGGTTCTAAAGATGAGACATGATGTTTAGCTTCAGCCTCAGTCTCTAATAAGATTTAGTCTGTTTACCTTGAGAGAGCCTCCAGTTTGATACCTTTCCAACATTACACCAGTATGCTCCAAGTTTCTCTGCAGGGCTATAGATCTATTTTAGCTGGCTCCATTTTCCTTTGGAGCAGATAAAGCTGAGATTGCAACATCAGATACAGTTCAACCAATCATTATGTATAAACCTCAGCCCATTTATATAATGCGATCCTTCTGGTAGTAATGACACCAGAGATGCAAACAGGGAGGATCACAACCCTGTCAAAGTCCCAAGTCATCTGTGGCAACAGGGCCACAGACTCTCTCTTTCCTTGGAAGTATAATAGTTACTTTAATGGTAACCAAATACCCTCCTGCTGGACAGTATTTCAAGAAGGTGGTGTATGCATGTATTATATAAACATATATGATTCTTTTAGAAGATGATTATCAATATCATGCAGGGAAGAGGACACACAGAAAGACTGAGTACTGTCTGGAAGACCATGCCACAAATCTTAGAAGAAGCACTTATGTCCAAGTCTGGGATCCTTTATCCTGGTCATGAGATAGCACAGCCCATGTGAAGAAAGGACCAGCTAGTTTTCCAGCATAACATGGTATTTTATTTCACCATAGTAGACTGCTGGGAAATCCCTGGAGGCCCTGGCAGCTGCGTCTTGTCTTTAGTATGAAGCCTGGGGCGAAGAGAAAGAGAGATACACATAATTCACAAGAGTCACAGCCATAAGAAAGCCATTCTGAGTAACTGAATCAGACACAGGGGGGGAAGCTGCTATTTTATTCCCAAGTCAAGAATGCCTTTTGTCTTCCTTCCCTCCTTATCTGCTGTGTCCTCATGAAAAGATCATTTATGGATGGTGGAATGAGTGCATCAGAGTCAGCTTCTGTTTCTTTCCTTTTCTTCCCCCATTGCTACTATCCTGTGAAAGAGATCTTTTGTTAAAGACTAAAACAGCAGATTCAGCTCAAATATTATCTTAAAAAACTAGGGGTTAGGGGCAGTAGTTTATCTTGAATTGACCCACCACCATTTTTTGTATTGTAAGAAGTTCTGCTACTGATCCAAATTTTCTAGAAAGTTGAGAGACACATACCAAAGTAATATTTTACTCATTTCTTTAAAATGATGTAGGGCATAGGAGACTGATAATAGCAAAAAATTTTTAGGAGAAAAGGACATAAAATCATCATGGGCTGAATGAATCATGTGAGGCCTTATGGATGAAGTTGGATTACTAGAAAGTGCTGACTTAGGTCTAAATGAAGGTGTGGTGCTAGGAAT